AGACTTTATCTTATCTGAACATTCATATACTTCCGTCTCACTTACAAAAATATATATATATATTTTTTAGAGGAGTTTTAGATTCACAGCAAAATTGAACAGAAGGTATAGAGAGTTCCTAGAAGCCACCTGCTTCCACACGTCACAGCCTCCCCCATTACCAACATCCCACACCAGAGGGGTACATTTGCTACAGCTATGAGCCTATATCAACACATCATTATGGCTCAAAGACTGCAGTTAACATGAGAGTTCACTCTTGGTATTGTAGATTCTCTGGGTTTGGACAAACATAAAGTTACATGTATCCACCATTATGGTGTCATACAGAATTGTTTCACCACCTCAAAGATCCTCTGTGTTCTGCCTATTCATCTGTCTCTATAGTTTTACCTTTACCAGAATGTCATATTGTTGGACACATAGAGTATGTAACTTTTTTTGATTGGCTTTTTTTGCGTGTGTGTGTGGAATTTTGCTCTTGTTGCCCAGGCTAGAGTATAATGGCGTGATCTCGGTTCACCGCAACCTCTGCCTCCCAGGTTCAAGAAATTCTCCTGCCTCAGCCTCTCAAGTAGCTGGGATTACAGGCATGGACCACCATGCCCAGCTAATTTTCTTTCTTTCTTTCTTTCTTTTTTTTTTTTTGAGACAAAGCTTTGTTCTTGTTGCCCAAGGCTGGAGTGCAATGGCATGATCTCAGCTTACCACAAACTCCACCTTCCATGTCCAAGCAATTCTCCTGCCTCAGCCTCTCGAGTAGCTGGGATTACAGGCATGCGCCCCCACACCCAGCTAATTTTGTATTTTTAGTAGAGATGGGGTTTCTGCACGTTGGTCAGGCTGGTCTCAAACTCTCGACCTCAGGTGATCTGCCCACCTTGCCCTCCCAAAGTGCTGGAATTATAGGCATGAGCCACCACGCCCAGCCAGCTTTTTTTTTTTTAAGACTTAGTAATACGCATTCAAGTTTCCTTCATTTTCAAAAATTTAATAATATTCATTTAAGTTTTCCTTTTCTTGGCTTGATATTTCATATCCTTTTGGTGCTAAATAATTTCATTGTTTGGAGGTACCAAAGTTTATAGAACCATTCACCTACTGGAGATCTTAGTTGCTTTCAAGTTTCGGCAATTATGAAAAAAAGCTGCCATAAATATCCATGTGCAGGTTTTTGTATGGTCATAGATTTTCAACACCTTTGAATTAATACAAAGGAGTGCAATTTCTGGATCATATGGGAAGAGTAGGCTTAGTTTTGTAAGAAATCACGAAACTCTCTTCCAAAGGGGCCACACAATTTTGCATTCTCCCTCCAATAAATGAGAGTTCCTATTGCTCCACATCCTCACCAGCGTCTGGTGGTGTATGTGTTCTGGATTTTGACTATTCTAATAGGTATGTAGTTCAATTCTCACTTCTATTTTATTGCCATCTTCAGTTACTAAGTTGACATCACAATATTAGTTCACATTCTTTTTTTTTTTTTTTTTTTTTTAAAGACGGGGTTTCTCCATGTTGGTCAGGCTGGTCTTGAGCTCCGAACCTCAGGTGATCCGCCCACCTCAGCCTCCCAAAGTGCTGGGATTACAGGCATGAGCCACTGCGCCAGGCAATATTAGTTCACATTACGCCTATGTCTGTCTCTCCAACTAGCTCCAAACTACTTGAGAACAGGAGTGGCTGGGCATGGTGGCTCACGCCTGTAATCCCAGCACTTTGGGAGGCTGAGGTGGGCAGATCATCTGAGGTCGGGAGTTCAAGACCAGACTGACCAACATGGAGAAACTCCATCTCTACTAAAAGTACAAAATTAGCTGGGCATGGTGGTACATGCCTGTAATCCCAGCTACTCGGGAGGCTGAGGCAGGAGACTCACTTGAATCCAGGAGGCAGGGGTTGCAGTAAGCCGAGATCACGCCATTGCACTCCAGACTGGGCAACAAGAGCAAAACTCAGTCTTAAAAAAAAAAAAAAAAAAAAAGAACAGGAGTGGCCTCCAATTATTGTATCCTTTGCTCATCTTCGGTCCTCATCTTAGGTTTGTCATGCATACAATGGCTATTGAAAATGATTTTTTAACTTGATTTGGCTCCTGAGGCAGGACTAGATAAGGTCTCTTTCATCACGTAGCTCAGTCCTGACGAAAGCGGCAGGATGGCTCGTAGAGAAAATTCAGACTAGGAATGGGTACAGAAAATGAAAACCTGAGAGCAAATATAAACATGGCAAAGATAAAAGTAACAGTGAGTCCCAAGAACAAGGCAGTGTTCAATGATCATGTGTTCGTCAGTTTAATCAGGGAATTAATCCTAGAATGCCTGAGTTTTCATCAGAATTTTTTAAAAAAGGACAGTTTTAACTCAAAATTTAAAACTTCTTTCCTAGAAGAAGAATAGCTCTTGGTACTGAACACCTACGACACCAGCACACCCTAAATTAATAGCTCCTAACCGTGAAGGTTGGCTAACATTACATTTCTCCCACAAAGGCAGCGGGCAGAGCCACAGCACCAGCAATGAGCCGTCTGGGCAGTACGGTCTAGGACTGGTGGCAGGGAGTGGGAATCACTTTTGTGCCTCACTGATGGGGCATCAATTTGAGAAGCAGAAATGGACTGGGCCTTATCACTGCTCATTCCAGGCAGCACCATTCAGATGCCAGTCTCCGTGAACCCCCTGTACACCAACTGGAAATGAGCCTTTACAAGGGAAACTGACAACACACCTGATTCCAGCTGTGCGTTGGGGGAAGGGAGGATATGTGGTCAGGGAGTGGGGTATTAGTCTATTTTCACACTGCTATAAAGAAATGCCCCCAAGTGGGTATTTCATAAAGAGAATTAATTGACTTTCGATTCCACAGGCTGTACAGGAGAAATGGCAGCATCTGCTTTTGGTGAGGCCTGAGGGAGCTTTTATTCACGGCAGAAAGCAAGGCTGCAGCAGGTATCTTCACATGGCTGGAAGCAGACCCTTCACAGGAAGAAGAGAGAGAGATCCAGGCCTCATGAGAACTCTGCCACAAGAACAGGACCACAAAAGGATGGAGCTAAACCATTCAGGAAGGATCCACCCCCATGATCTAATCACCTCCCACCAGGCCCCACCTTTAATACTGGGATTACAATTGAACTTGAGGTTTGGGTGGGGACACAGATCGGAACCATCTCAAGCAGGGAGGATGGTGCAACAATGCTAGAACTAGCTCTGGAGGTATAAGTAGAGTCTATAGCAAAACAAAAACACACTATATATATATGTACTTTTTTTTTTTTTTGAGGTGGAGTCTTCCCCTGTCACCCAGGCTGGAGTGCAGTGGCGCGATCTCAGCTCACTGCAACCTCCGCCTCCTGGGTTCAAGCGATTCTCCTGCCGCAGCCTCCCAAATAACTGGAATTACAGGCATTCGCTAACACGTCCGGCTAATTTTTTTGAATCTTTAGTACAGATGGGGTTTCACCATGTTGGCCAGGCTGGTCTTGAACTCCTGACCTCATGATCTGCCCACCTCGGCCTCCCAAAGTGCTGGGATTATAGGCATAAGCCACTGTGCCAGGCCCGCAGTGTATTATTAATTCTAAAAATCAGACCTTGAGTTTATGGTTACTTTACATGTGCTTTGCACATTCACCAGCACAAGCTGAAATGCCTTCTCTGCCTTCCACAACTCAAAAGGCTCTTTCTTTCTTGGTCACCCTTCCTCATCTTCTGCTATGATCTGAATGTTCGTGTTCATTACTTTTTTTTTTCCTTTTTTAGAGACGGGGTCTTGTTCACAGGCAGGATTATTGTACACTGTAGCCTCAAGCAATCCTCCACCTCCGCCTCTCAAGTGGCTGGGATTATAGGTGTATTCCACTGTACCCGGCCACCGTTGAAATCTTAACCCCCAAGTGTATCCTATTAGGAGGTGGGGCCTTTGGGAGGTGATTAGGTCATGAGGGTGGAGCCCTCATGAATGAAATTAGTGTCTTCATAAAAGAAGCCTCAGAGAGGTCCATCGCCCCTCTGCTATGTGAGGTTATAGCAAAAAGACAGCTGTGTGTGAACCAGGAAGCAGTGCCTCGCCAGACACTGCATCTGCCAGAAACTTGATCTTGGACTTACAGCCTTCATAATTGTGAGAAACAAATTGTTGTTTATAAGCCACCTAGTCCATGGTATTTTGGTATAGCAGCCTGAGTGGGCTAAGCTTTAACGAGCCCAGAGGCCTTGTGATTCTCCTCACATCCTCTGAGTAAGCACCCACCTTCCCCTCCTAGACCACTTCTGCAGTAATTTAATTTCCACTGTGTTGAACTTCCACAGGAACTTGGAGCCATTGTGCAGCACTGGCTGCCTGGATTTCACAGGATTGTTTTCACTCTGGAAGATGGTGCCCTCCTCTGTGCCCACACACCCTGCATGCATCAGCCAAGGGACCTTCCCATGCATCAGAGGCAGCTGGTGTGGAATGCTTAGGCCGTGTCGGAAAACACACACAAACATGCAGAAAGAGCGACAGAGCACACAAAACTCTTGTTATCTGGCCTGTTCAATGGCTGACCTGTGTGGATGAGGAGAGCTAAGAGCACAGTTGCTGCTGTTGCTGCTGCTGATTATTGATTTTTTTTTTTTTGAGACAGAGTCTTTTACTGTCGCCAGGGCTGGAGTGCAGTGGTGTGATCTCAGCTCACTGCAACCCCCGCCTCCCAGGTTCAAGCAATTCTCCTGCCTCGGCCTCCCAAGTAGCTGGGATTACAGGCACCCACCACCATGACCAACTCATTTTTTGTACTTTTAGTAGAACTGGGGTTTCACCATGTTGACCAGGCTGGTCTCAAACTCCTGACCTCGTGATTTGTCCACCTTGGCCTTCCAAAGTGCTGGGATTATAGGAATGAGCCACCATGCCCAGCTGAATTATTTTTTTAGCTTCTGTCCTTGTCCTCTGTTGTTCGGAATGAATTATAAATATGCACAATGGTGGTTTAATCCAAACTTTAATATTTTTTTCCTTCTCTGCCCTCCCTTGATGTGGGGAGTGGGGGTGGGAGGAGTCAGGAGGAAACTTCTGAAAAGCAGATTTTCCAGTTTGGTCAGAAAATAGATCACCCGCCCCAACCACTCCCCTCTCCTCCCAAACATGACGTCCATACATCAGAAATTCCCATTGCTATTTATCTCATTGAAGGGAATTGACTGGTTTGATAGAGAAAGACAATCAAATAAGCACTCTGAAATGATTCATAAATCTGTTTAGATTGGTTGAATATATATGAGTCCTGATGATCTTTACCGGCCCTGATACAATTTAACACATTAGGATTAAAACAACCACGTGAATAATGCTTGGTATAAGTGGGCACCAATAGAGGTGTTTTGTTTTTTGCTAATCTATGGGAGAAAAACATTTCAATTTCTCATTGCAAAAATGTGATTCTATTCATTAGTAATTCCCCCACACCCCACAAGTAAGGAAACAGCACCATTACCTGAACAATAGCGGCTAAATCTTTCAGTCTGAGAAAAGAGTTTTGAATTGGAATGATCGTAATGGTCTTGGGTATCTATCCCTGCCTGGGAATTGTATTGAATTTGGGGATCACTCTACTGTTGTCTTGGTTTGTGCCAAGGACATCAAAAGAAAAGAGTAAATGTTACCACTTCTACTTTGGAAGAATAGTGAGATTCTGTGTGGACTCTACTGTGAGGCCCTTCAGAGCCCTCAGTCCATCCTGTGCAAGCCTGCTTCAGGCCTAGTAGCCTCTCCTTTCCATCATGATGGAGTCTTCGAGAGCTGCCATAACAAAATGCCACAGACTGTATGCCTTCATCAACAGGTATTTAATTGCCTGCAGTTCTGGAGGCCAGGAGTCCCAGACCAAGGTCTTGCGGAGTCAGTTTTTGGTGAGGGCTCTCTTCCAGGCTTACACATGGCCACCTTCTCACGATGTCTGCACATGGCAGGGAGAGAAAGAGTGAGCTCTCTGGTGCCTCTTCTTACAAGGATCCTAATCCTGTCAGGGCTCTACCCTTATCACCTCATTTAATCTTGATTACTTCCTTACTCCAAACCCAGTCACATTGAAGGTTAGAACTCCAACATTTGCAATTCAGTCTATAGCATTCTGCCCCTGCCTCCACAAAAAAATTCATGTCTTCATTGCATGTAGAATATGTTTTCTCCATCTCAGTAGCCTCGAAAATTTTTTTTAAATTTTTTTTTTTGAGACAGAATCTTGTTCTGTTTCCAGGCTGGAGTGCAGTGGCACAATCTCAGCTCACTGTAACCTCTGCCTCTTAGGTACAAGCAATTATACTGTCTCAGCCTCCCTAGTAGCTGGAATTACAGGTGCACACCACCACACCCAGCTAATTTTTGTATTTTTAGTAGAGATGGGGTTTCACCATGTTGACCAGGATGGTCTCGATCTCTTGACTTCGTGATCCACCTAGGAACATGAACCACTGTTCCTAGCCTTAAATTTTAAAATTTATTTTTAAATTTTATTATATTTACATCTTTTTGGATACAATTTTTAATTTTTATTTAAAAAAAATACTTTTTGAGGCTGGGTGTGGTGGCTCAAGCCTGTAATCCAAGCACTCTGGAGGCCAAGGCAGGCGGATCACCTGAAGTCAGGAGTTCAGAACCAGCCTGACCAACATGGCGAAACCCCATCTTAAAAAAAAAAATACTTTTGAGATGGAATCTTGCTCTCTCACCTAGGCTGAAGTGCAATGGCAGGCTCCTGGCTCACTGCAACTTTTACTGCCCGAGTTCAAGTGATTCTCATGTCTCAGCCTCCCAAGTAGTTGGTATTATAGGTTCCCACCATCACGCACAGCTAATTTTTGTATTTTTAGTAGAGAGAGGGTTTTACCATGTTGGCCAGGCTAATCTCAAACTCCTGACCTCAAGTGATCCACCCACCTTGGCTTCCCAAAGTGTTGGGTTACTGGTGTGAGCCATTGCACTCAGCTTGAATATCAACCACAATTTATTTTTTTAAAATTTTGTTATATTTACATCTTCTTTTAAAAACTTCTTATATTTACATCTGCTTCCCTAAAATCTTAACACATTCCAGCATTAATTCTTTTTTTTTTTTTTTTAATTCAGTCTCTGTAGAGACTGTCAAAAATTGCCAGTGCCAACTATATTGCAAGTCGTCACGACGGGGTATTGGGAAAAGTTTTCAATTAGCAATAATCGCGCCTCGGATAAACCTTATTGGCTGCAATACTGCCACTGTGCAAAGCTTCCAGCATTAATTCTAAAGTCCAAAGTCTCATCTAAATATCATCTAAATCAGATATGAGTGAGACTTGCAGTACATTCATCGTGAGGCAAAATTTCTTTCCAGCTGTGAACCTGTGAAACCAGACAAGTTATATACTTCCAGATACAATGGTGGACAGCCATATGATAGACATTCCCATTCCAAAAGGGAGAAACTGGAAAGAAGAAAGGAGTGATGATCCCAAGCAAGTCCAAAATCTAGCAAGACAAATTCTATTAAATTTTAATTCTCAAGAATAATGATCTTTGGCTGGGCGTGGTGGCTCACACCTGTAATCCAAGCACTTTGGAGGCCAAGGCGAGCGGATCACCTGAGGTCAGGAGTTCAAGACCAGCCTAACCAACATGGTGAAATCCCGTCTTAAAATAAATAAATAAACGAAGGAAAAAAAAAGTTAAAAAAAAAATAACGATCTTTGGTTCAATGCTCTGCCTTTCAGACCCACCAGGAAGTCTGTCCCACATTTAGGAACTACTGGAGAAGTGGTCTCACCTTCACAGCTCTGCCCCACAGGGATTTACACCCTCAGGGCTCCACGATATGGCCCCACCCACAAGGCTTCAGTCAGAGGCTATCTGGCCTCCTGCAATTGAGGCAATCACATCATCCTTTGAAACCAAGGAGGCAGCCCTGTTGCTCTCTGAATTGCCTTTGAGGTCATTCTTCACTTTACTTGCAGAATAAGGATCTGAGAAGTCCACAGCCTTCTTTTATTTCATCTTGTTTTCTCTGCTTTATTTAGTTCAAACTGGCAATGTCTTTGCTGATATAATCCCATCTCTATTCCTGTTTTTTGCTAAGAAGGTTGATGAAGTTCATGAGTCTTCCTCATGACCACTTTATCAAATAGCTGTTCAGCCTTAGTTTTAGTATCTTTTCAGAGTAAATATTTTTCTTTTTTGTTTCTTTCCTTTTATTTTTTTCGATATGGATAGACTTTCTCAAATCCTCTATTTCTTGTTTCTTTATGCTTAACAATTCCTTTTTCAACTCATTTCTCTCCTTTCCGATTTTTCTGTAAGCAGTCAGGAGGAACAAAGTTGTTCCTTCAACACTCTGCTTAGAAATCTCCTTAGCTAAATATCCAGTTATATAGCTCATAAGTTCTGCTTTCCACAAAACACTTCACCACTTTATTTATTTATTTATTTATTTATTTTTGAGACAGAGTCTTGCTCTGTCACTCATGCTGGAGTGCAGTGGCATCATCTTGGCTCACTGCAACTTGCACCTCCTGGGTTCAAGCAATTCTCATGCCTCAGCCTCCCAAGTAGCTGGGACTACAGGCGTGTGCCACCACACTCTGCTAATTTTTGTAGTTTTAGTAGAGATGGTCGAGGTGTACCATGTTTGCCAGGTTGGTATCAACTTCTAGCCTCAAGTGATCTGTCCACCTTAGCTCACACCTTACAGGTGTGAGCCTCCACACTCGGTCTTCTTCACCGCTTTATAACAGTTTGCCTTTCCTCCAGTTTCCAATAACATGATCCTCATTTCTGTCTGACATTTCACCAGAATCACCCTTAACATCCATGTTTCTAGCATACACCTCAAAAATCTTCCAGCCTCTACCCATTACCCAGTTCTGAAGCCACTTCTACATGTTTAGATATTTGTTACAGCAGCACCTCAAAAATCTTCCAGCCTCTACCCATTACCCAGTACCAAAGCCACTTCTACATGTTTAGATATTTGTTACAGCAGCACCTCATGTCTCACTACCAAAATGTGTATTAGGCAGAATTCTCCAGAGAAACAGTATAAACAGTGTGTGTGTGTGTGTGTGTGTGTGTGTGTGTGTGTGTGTGTGTGTCTGATGAGAGAGAGAGAGAAAGAGAGAGGTACTAGGGAAATTGGTTCATGTGATTATCGAGGCTAAGAAGTTGCAAGATCTGCAGTCAGCAAGCTAGAGACCCAAGAGAGCAATAGTATAGTTCTAGTCCATGTCTGAAGGCCTGAGTCCCAGACAGCAAGTGGTATAAATTGAGGTTCAAAAGCCAGCAAGATTAGACCCACAAGGAGCTGATGTTTTAGTTAGAGCCAAAGGCAGAAGGCCAACATCCCAGTTCAAGCAGTCAGACAGACGCAATTCCCTTTTACTGAGCGTTTTTGTTCTATTCAGGCTTTTGACTGATTTAATGAGGCTCACCCATTTTAGGGAAGAGAATATGCTTCACACAGTCTTCTGATTCATATGTTTAGCCCAACCAGAAATGCTTCCACAGGCACATCCAGAATAATGTTTGACCAAATGTCTGGGCACCTCACGTCCCAGTCAAGTTGACACATAAAATGAACTATTATAGGAATAATTCAAGGGAGGTAATAACAGATTATTTAGACCTTCCCCCCCACAAGCTTTAAGTATATACTAAGTGCAAAGTCCCATTCCCAAGGTTCTTTCAGTGCAAATTTAATTCTGTTCCATCTGATATTATTCCGACTGTGGAACTGGCTGTTACCACAGATAGTGAGTTTCTGTCCACCGAGGTCTTTCTGTAGCTGCCAGCTGGATGGCCTAGTCTAGCTCACAGCTTCTAAGATTCTAGGTAATGGATGGTGATAATGTTATAAAACAGGTAGTAGTTTAAGAAAGGAAGGGAAGAAGAAGCTGTACTAGACCAGTTGTGTGTGTCTTGAGAAACATATGGTTACCAGGGAAGCCTGTTAAAATGTAGGTGCTGATTCAGGAAGCCTGAGATTCTGCATTTCTATCAAGTTCTCAGGTGATGCTGATGCTGCTGGGCCAGAGACAACATTTTGAGTAACAAGGTATTAGATGAACTTTAAGATCCCTTATAATTCTCTAAATTCAGTCCAATTCAGCAAGTGCTCATTGAGAACTCATTGTGTACCATGATGCCATGAAGTAGCCAATAGAGGTATGAAAGTATTTTCTGCCTCCAAAAAGCTAACTTACATTTGGAAAGCTGGACAAATATCAAGGCTGGCCAACACAGTGAAATC